CCCCCTCCCCCCCTAGACCCTAGGCATAAAAGCCAGAAAACGAGCCATACCTTTCCTTTACATTTCTGATAGACTTTCCCCAAGTCGACCTTTCTTGTCTTCGCATTAGCATATGCAGCCCGTTAAGTCCTCCATTGCAATGTAAAGCGCATTGAGACATGAAAATGCGCTATATAAGAACCCCATTATTATATTAGTATTTTATTTCAGCGAAGCGAGAATTTGCCAAGCGCAGCGAGTCAGCATCACATGGGGTGGATGACTTTGCGAAAGTCTTCATTCCTAAGAACTCATGTATACATAATGGACATTCATTTCATTTGAAACATCATGTTTATATTTCGTCTCATACACAGCTACTATTCCCGTCGTCACACAAATCTGACTCACTCCTCTAAGTAGTCCGCTACTAAGGAGAGTGAGCGTTGCTTGACGAAACTAATAGGCCCTTGTAGTACTTCGGAATGCTCATTTTGGAGGACATAACAGGTTTTCAATCCTCAGGAGATTAAAATTCTTTTTTTTYTCTCCTCCAAACTGAGCAGCTTTGACGTCACATGTAAGGGGTCAATCTCGTACCCAGAGCTTGCGTTTCTTATGGCCTGCGGCGAAGAACGAGGGCTCTAGCATAACTCCATTTTTTGAGACCAGGATTTCTTGGACTTTCGGATGAGCGCGCAAACGTTAAAAGACTTGCCAAAAATAAAAAAATATRTTCCCGATTTCTATTTTTAGTTTGATCGGAAGTAAACACAGAACTCTGTTTTAATGCATGATTTTCATTGATTATACTTCACTTCCTGAAAACTGCGCATGCGCCGAAAAATGGATTATGCCAGAACCCTTGTTCTTCGCTTTAGGCCAGAAGAAACGCAGGCTCTGGGTACGACATTGRCAAGGGGTCGATATAGCGGCTGCGTAGGAGAATAGCTTACTGTATATTAGTAATGGAGCTAAAGATCTTGCACGAAAATGCCAACCAAGGCCTTCTCAACTTCATTTTCCATGTTTTTTCGCACATTTTAATCGCTCGTAACGCTACAGATAATATTTGCCTTAGTACCCTCAGAGGGCTCGAAATTGGCACTAGCAACTAGCAAAGTGCTAGTGTTTCTATTGACTTTGCTTTGCTGTGCAATAGACGACTTGCACTAAGAGGTCACGTGATCAAATCGGCCATTGTGGCTGGCATTCTACAGGATTTTAGCTATGCCAGAATGTACAAAAAGATGGCGGATTCGGGTAGTTTTTTTGGTGACAAAAGGTAAATTAGCGCACTAAATAACTATAAAAATCCCCTTTTCTTGCAAGAAATATATTCTTAGTAGATATCTAAAGTAGATTTTTGCTATTAACTAGCCTAGAAGAGAAAAAATATGGTATTTTTGCAATAGGATGTGAAGATCTACGAAGTGTTTTAGTATCGTTTTGCTGGCTTCATGACCTCAAAACATACAATATTTTTCCTCTTCCTGGCGAATGAATAGCAAAATTCTACTTAGAATATCTATTAAAAGTATATTTCTTGCAAGAAAAATGCAGTTTTCAAGAATGAAGTTGAAATATACTTGAAAAGTTCCGACAAGAAGTCGTTATTTTGAGGTCATGAAGTCGGCAAAACAAGACTAAACACTTCGTAGGTCTTCACATCGTAGCGCAAACAATACCATATTTTTTCTCTTTTTGGCGAGTTAATAGCAAAAATCTACTTTAGATATGTACTAAGAGTATATTTCTTGCAAGAAAAGGGGATTTTTATAGTTATTTAGTGCGCTAACTTACCTTTTGTCACCAAAAAAACTACCCGAATCCGCCATCTTTTTTTACGTTCTCGCATAGCTAAAACCCTGTAGAATGCCAGCCACAATGGCCGATTTGATCACGTGACCTCTTAGTGCAAGTCGTCTATTCATATCGATTCATCCTTAGTAAAGGGGCCTGGGGAAGTTTTATGACCATGATGGCTTTCTTGCAATCAGGTGTATATATTTATGATATTTTTAATTATTATTTTTAATGTATGTATTATCTATAGGGGGCTAGATTGAAATTGAGACGTACGTAACTTCTGTTTCTTTCCCCTGTCACACTCCGTATCTTTTCTTTCTGAATTATTATTTGTATTTGTCTTAGTATTATTATTTCTTTAATTTTGTGACGTATTCATTAAACTAAACTAAACTAATCATTGAAGGTTAAATTTGTTTCACCTCTTTTTCCCCAGCAACTGCAACAAGCCCAACAACAAGCCCAACAACAAGCGCAAGCTCAACAGCAACAACAAGCTCAACAACAGGCACAACAACAACAACAGCAGCAACAGCAACAGCAACAGCAGCAGTTCCAAGTCCCTAATCAGCAACAGCTCACCCAACCAACACAGGCGGCTGCTGCACAGGTTCCTTCACAGCTTCGCCACCTTTTACAACATGTTCAGAACCAGACATCGGCGCAGAGCACAGGCCAGCAACCCACCATGACACAACAGCAGTGGCAGTTACGACAACGACAGCTTTTACAACTGCAACAACAGCGTCAGTCTCAGCAGCAACTGGCGCAAGTTGGACAAATACCTCAGGTAACTGTGACAGCGAGAATACTCATTTTTGTTATATGGTAATGTAATTTCATGCGCTATGATTGATCAATTTGCGGTCCATAACTTACGGTACGGACCTCGCACTCGGTTAATAAGAGCTACTGTATTTACACACATTCAAATCAAGGCTGGAGTTTCCGCGCACACCAAAACTTAGCCTGCGTCACATCCGGAATGTTCTTCGTAAATACCGTGGACTTCTTCGAAAAAAAAGGCCGGATGAAACGTAGGCTAACCAAAACTATACTTTTTATTATGAGCGGCAACAACAACTGTAAAATGAAGTATTAATGATTCAGGCAGTTTCTTGTATTAATAATTCATTAATATTGATTACTTATATGGCGCAAAAATTCATTAAAATATATGATCTAATGCGCTTATTCGTGGTTAAAAAGGGAGAGAGAAAAAAAGCAGGTCTGTTTTGAATTCGCAAAATACCACTGTTACTCGATAGGGCTCATTTACCCAGGGTTAGCCTCATTTCAGTATCAAAATGTCCACAAATACCAAAGATAAAGTAAAGAATCCACAAGGACCTTCAATGGAGCACATGAATATTTTACATGAAATTATTGCTACCTTAAGGTGGCTGCCTACTTTTGAACGTTCGATTTGAGCCCACGATGAGCGCGCGCTCAAAAACCGCTGAAAAATCTACAAGATTTTATTGAAGAAGAATACGCGTTTTGAGCTTCAACAGGGCAAAACCCTCACATTTTGCACGGGACTCTATATTTTTTGATAGCTCATTCGAAAAAACTCCTAAAAATCAAGGTTATATCAACATTTTAGAAAAAGTTTAAATCAGGAACACGTGAAAAAATAGATTTTTTTAGGGATTTTTGTTCGACTTTATGAGATTTTTTAAGAGCACCGAAACTACAAAATATGACAAATCAATGTATCTCTCTGTCTTTTTGTCGAAAATATCCATGTATTATTGTAGAAGGATTGACTAGCCATCGTTCGTGCATAACTATTATCTTATTAATCTTAATTTTTTTCTAATCCCTTCCGGGGGCACAATTTTTACTCCAAAAGCTCGTGCGTAGGCTTCCATTAAATGCTGATTATCTCGAAAACGAGCTCGGGACACCCTATTTTTCTTTCCAGATTTGGGATCAGCATTAAATTTCAATTCGGAAAATCGAAGTTTAAAAAAAAGCTTAAATCAATTTCCAAAAGTAGGCAGTCACTTTAAGTAACAGAATTTAAAACTAGCGGATTGGACCATGTGTTGGGTGTACGCAAAAAATCTCTTATGACAACGATAAAATACGATACTTTTTGTTTGATTGTTTGTTTGTTTATTTGCTTATTTTTTGTTTGCTTATCATTGTTTGTTTATTCGTTTGCTTGTTTGTCTGTTTGCTTGTGTTTATTTGTCTGCTTGTTTGCTTGTTTGTTTGGCTTGTTGGTTTAGTTTAGCCTTTTTCTTTATTTTGCTTTTCCACTCAACCGCGCTCGTTTCTCATCAGGTACAAATGACGTCAGCTCAAATGGTCCAGTCACAGCCACAGATGGCACCAGGCCAAGTAACACAAGCGCAAATGACCGCGCAGGGTCTTGCCCAAGGACAGCCTACATTCCTGCCCGAAAACATGAGTTTGATGGAGTTATTACAGTAGTGAAGTAGGAATGAAACGTAGGTAGTACAATTGTAGGAAAATGTATGTTATTTCGCAACAGCGTTTGTGTCTTTGCGCAGGGATCCCTGTGGTTACCATACCTACCATCCTTCCTCTGAAAAAAGCACAGGCAGCCCAATCTCTTGTTCTATGGTGTTGTAGTATTTGAATGTTAACGGTAATATTTCGTAGCATATAAAGTTAGTACTTTTAAGATGAATAACGACTTTTCTTCATAGCTTTTTGTATCTTTTATCTTTTATCTATATATATAACAGATATAATTTTATTTTACAGGTAATAGTTATCTTACTGTAAAGCGCATCGAGGCTCTCAGGATGCGCTATATAAATACTATTTCATTATTTTTATTATTATTATTTTGATAAAAATGCACCAAACTGGCTTCAAAATCAGCAAAACATCACAGATACAACGAGCTTTACTACAAGCTATGCTACGAAATATTACCGTTAACATTCAATTACTACAACGCAACAGAACAAGAGATTAGGCTGCCTGAGAAAAAAGCTGTTTTAAGAAACTGGTCTTGGTGTATGCAAGTAATTTATGCAGCTAGTGAAGTACTTGTGTATGCATTTAGCCCCAGCTTTAATATGATGCAGCAATAATGATGAAAAAGTAGTCATGGCAGATATGATATAGGATACAAGTATGATATTTGGTTGGGAGGACCACGTGTTTTCCCATAAATATAGTTTATGTATCAACATGACAACCACTTTTAACCCCTGTAAATGTGATAGCAAACGTTTAAACTGCCTTAACATAGGTGCCACGGCATTGACCCTTGGGAATGGTTACAAACTACCGAAATAGTTACAGGATCATCCAACATGGCCACCGCTTTTACCCCTGCAAATGTGATTTCAACCGCTTAAACTACTACAAGCGACCGTTAGAATAGATGCCACTGCATTAACCCTTGGGAATGGTTACAAACTACCGATATAGTTACAGGATCATCCAACATGGTCATCCATTACGGCCACCACTTTTACCCCTGTAAATGTGATAGCAATCGCTTAAACTACTTCAAGCGACCGTTACTTAGAATATATGCCACGGCATTAATCCTTTGGAATGGTGACAAACTACCGATAGTGAACATCATCCATGTTGGACTGATCAAAGTGTTGTAGGCTAGTATATATCTAATTTACAAAACCAGTAATCGCAGCCTGCCACTTTTTTTATTCTTACAACAATAATTTAAAAACACGTTTAAAACATTGGATATAAAAAATATCTAGGCATAGTATCGTCCAGTATATTTAGCGAAGGCGACTTTAGTCTCTTATGACATATAAAACTTTAACCATAATGAATAAATATAAATCTTTTACAATAGCGGATATGTAGGCGATATGAAATAAGTCATTTCAATATCCAAGAATATCTAATGATATTAATTATAAAATAAATGTTAAAAATCTTGCRTTCTGATTGGTTGGGAGCGCGTGCTTTATGAGAGAGCACGCACGTACGCACACATTTTTAATGAGGATACCATCATCACAATCAGGGGTTTACAGAAGGTTCCTAAAATGACGACGACGATGATGTTGGTGATGATGATGTTGATGATGATGTTGGTGATGATGATGATGACGATGRTGKTGRTGATGTCGATGACCACATAATCTACTACCAGACTCCCTTGCACACTTTTAATAACACTTCTCATAAGGGAAAACAAATTTAAATACGAAAGAAAATTCAGGAAGCATTATGGTAGAAGGAGTATAATGACGTCAATATGCAAACGTCCTATTTGGTAAGTGTATAGTATTTATACTTTATTTAGATGTAAAGTAATATCGTAAAAATTCCAACTACCTCGAGGACAAAATTTAATAAAATTTAATAGATAAAACTAAAAGCTTGAAGAAAACTTTTAAACTTTTTTAAACCTTTCGTAACTACTTTTTACTTATAGTACCTTAAAATCCCAGTTAAAAGTCTTGGGCTTATTCTCATTCGTAAGGGGTCTTGTATTCGAGGAGCGAGAGATTTGAGGATCAAAAGAGGCATATGTTAGGTTTTTCTGGGGATCTGGGGCTCGATTCCTGGTCTCTTATTAGGTCTTTCTCGTGATTGGAGGGTTTTTCTTACCTCTGGGATCTGGGGTTCGATTCCTGGTCTTTTGTTAGGTCTTTCTCGTGATTGGAGGGT